AGTTACAAGTAAACAAGCAAAATAAAGTTAAGAATAGAATCTGATAGAACGAAGAGAATAGTAATGGCGAAAATAACAATTATTTATATGTAGAAATACAACCACTGGAAGTTAGAGGGGAGAGAAAGACAATGCGAGAATTGCAACACCAACAAGGAGCCGAAGGACACCAATAAATGAACAAGTGAATAAAGGCAAACCTGAATCAAAGTCTGGATAATCAACAACACTAAGTGTGACCAATGGATAAACAATTCACTCAATAAGTTGGCAATAAGCTGCAATGAGCTTGGGCAAACCGAGAGCAGTTGGTAGCTTGGACAAAACTTGAAGTAAAAGGCTCAAAACCCTAAGTAAACAGCTAGCAGGGAATAGCAAACTTGCTAGTACGCCAGTAGTCTACCTTCAAATAATACAGGACAAGGAATTAGTTATTTTGAGTACAATCATACAACGAAGTAAAGCAGCCAAACACTTTGTTAAGCTACGCCAGCCTATTGGAGTTTATTCATGAGCGATGGAAAAGGGAATTTCTGAAGATCGAGCGCTCTTGCACAGAAGAGTCCCAAGACCTCTGAAAGGAAATAGCAAGGAGGGAGCCAGGGTTACGCGGAAAGGGGGGCATGTAGCTGACTACAAGTGCAGATGCACACACAGGAACCCGGGTCAAGACACACAACAGGGAAGCAAGCGACACAAACGCCGGCCTGGTCCGAAGACTTGCATAAGGAAGAAGGCAGTTGACTAGGGGGTGATAGCGTTAATGAGGTGCCGAGGCTACGGGCTATGAGCATGGAACTCTGCAACTGCGAAGGCACACAACTAGCGGTAGGACGCAGTACATCAGAAGGCAACCCTTATGGGAGGTCGCAGCAGAAGGAGCGTCGGCCGAGAATCTGGGAAACGCAACAGAAACTTGAGGCTTCGCTGCGCGGACCAGCAGAGAGGAATAGTTGCTCAGATGCCAGCATACAGGAGCAAGCGCCCCTCCCCTCCCCTACAAGCACAAGCTTGGCAACAGCGCAGGAAGCTCTATTGCTCGGGAGCTGCAGCGAGTTTTTCATGCTGGGTAAGTTGACAGCGACAGAAGGGGAACATTGGACTGCGATTGTGGAAGTTTCAAGAAATGGTGCAACAGACGTAATCTGGGAGGGGGGGAAATTGTAGTAAACAGGTACTACAATACTGCTCAAATTGGGCCTCTATTGGCCTATCCGACAGAACGAGAGCAAGTAACATCTTTTTAGAAATAAATCAGGTGACTCTTGATAGAAAATACGGCCATCAGGCTACGAGTGCCCGGCAGCAACCCAGGATTTGTGACTGGCCCTGAGGCTGGCAATATCGCCTGGTGACCCACTAGCGGGGCCAGCGCCAGTCAGATCTATTCGTATTACTCTAATTATTGGGAAGATGGGACTAAAATAAAACGGGAAAACGACTCTTTGATATTTAAGGCTATTTCAAGGTTTATGAGCTGTGCGCAGTGAGTGCATATCGAGTGAGCACCTGATATGCACACATCGGGTCGGCAATGAGCGGCAGCCGAAAGCGCTCTTCCCCATGCCGACCCAGCGTAGCAGCTGAGCACTTGTAGCCTGATGGCCTTACTTCCTGTCTAAAGTAAGGTAATTAACGTCTAGTAATATATTATTTGCACTCTCTCTGACTGATAGACCTCCACATACACAATTTAAGTATCTCTGGAGTGCTTGCGCAGTCCCGTCCGCCTGCACGTAACATTATTGGAAAGATTGGGGTTGGAAAAACCCACCAGCCCGAAGCGAAGGATGATTTTTATTGAAAAAACGGTTCCCTCTGTCTTTTTTCCCGTTAATTAACAATTTCAGGTACATTATGTTCCCATATATACATTAGTCGTTCGTTTACTTCAGCGTATGCGGGGCGCCGTACAGCTTATCGATCCCCGCGACGTGCAAATTTGTCAGCCTGTTTAACTCGTTCGTTTCCCCAGTGTCTTTTTACGTTTTGTGTAGACTATCCGTGTTCCATAATACACCAGCTCATTTTCGTCCTGACAATTTCGGCCTCACTGCCGCCTGTGAAGGGCCTTTGATTTCTTCTGCTACTGCCTGCGACTCGTAACATGGCAGGGTTGCAGAAGGCCTTCGACGGGGGAGATGCCAACGGTAATTCGGAGCCGGGGTTCAATGGGTTGTCTCACTCGACTTCTACTGTAGTGCCGCCACTAACTGCAGCAGCGCCCCTTGTCGCACAGGACGTTCTAGAGGAAGACACTGGAAGTATCCTTGTGGTAAACCAACAGCAGGAATTATTCCATGGAACAAAAACGCGGGGGGAAAGGTTTGGCTATCCTTTTTATGCTTTTGCACTGTCGGCTTTGCTCCTCTCCATTTTCCTTGCACGACGGCTGTACCTGGCTGCTGGAAGAGAAAAGCCTGTTCATCCATACCCGGTGCCAACAGACAATGAAGGCTTGCGAATGGCCTTGGAGGCAGTGGAAGAAAGCTCGAAGATGCTACAAAACAAATTGAAGGGGGCCTCTAAAGAGGTGCGCGCTGCTTTCACCACGCAGTTTTGTCCAGTGGTTGGCACACGCCCTCTCACTTGGGAGCAGTTTAGACACTGGTGTAATGCGTATGCTAATACTGTAAAATCACAGCCTATTCCTAAAGAGACAGCTAGCAAAGCGGAAAGGCAGGAGTTTGTTTTAGGATGCATCCTGGTCACCACCGTCTTCCGCGTTGCCGCAAAGCGCCTAGACCTTCTGAGTAAACTTGAGGACTTGTCACTGAAGCATCAAATTCCTCCAGCCCTTTACGCGAGTCCAGAACGTGCACTTTCTCTTCCAATTTGGGAAGACAAGGGGGCCGCTGTATCGTTCCAGACATTCACTGAACGGCTAGAAACGCTTGGAGTCGTGGAAGCGGCAAAACAAGGCGATTCAGCTACGACAGTTTCCTTATTGCTAGCTAACGATTTGGCCAATGTAACATCTGTAAAAAAGCTCTACGACGTATCCAACTTGGACGTGGTCAACGAATTCCAGGCGTTTCTTGAATCTGTAAAAGCGGCGGAGATAGGGAGTAGTGACGAGGAAAGGAGCCGCATAGAATCTATCAACATGCCTGGATTGGCACTGCCGGTTCCGGTTAGAGTCTTGGCTGAAGCAGTGAAATGCGCGAAGCTGAGTAGGGAATCGGAGCACTTGCCGATATCTGGAATTTTGAGTTTGAGAACGCGGTGGAATGAGGCAACAGTATCAAGTGTGTCTATGGATGTTAGGGCTATGCTCGAGGGGATGGTTTACCATGGACTTGATATAAGGCGTTTTGGTCTGGAGAAATGGGGCTACATGCATGACTACGATGCGCGAACACAACATATATTCTCATATGCAATATTCCTCTTGTAATGCAATTGCTATTCCTGTAGATTGTGATGTGATCTGACAAGGCGTATGGGTGTTCATATGCTGTCGTGATCCTCTGGCGTGTGCATCCAACTGCTGCAGCGGCAAGTTTGCGGAGGCGTCCCAGCATCATCGCCTGTAGGCGTTGTATTTCTAGTCCTCGTTGTGGACACATGGGATCTGCCCTCAATTGTGCGTGCTGCTGGGATGCGTCTCGAACAAGGTGGGTACAATCCCAAGTATTCTTCAGCAGGACCAAGCTTGCAAGAGCCCCTGAAAACGTAAGTGCGCAAGATAGTCCGGCTTGGTTCTGCGATTAATCTGGGGGCGCAGAAGACGGAGAGCAGAGACGCATCGTCGAAGTTCCCAGCTTTTGCCTGACAGACTGTGGCCGTTAGCTTTCTGCTGCAGTGCAGCTGCACCCTATCTATTCTGTGGAAATTGCGCTATGCATATAATTAGCACAAGTGTGCGGACACGCATGCTCCCCAGTAGTTCTGCAGAGCGCATGCTCCAGCGTAAGATTATTTGGGACGGCTCACCTGCAGGGTCTGCAACCCCTGGGTTGCAGTGCCGACGGGTAGGAGACGGGAACGAAATTCATTTGGTATTCGGCTCTTCTTGAATTGCTTACGTTGCATGCGTGGCATAGGGAACACCATTATACATAACTAGGACAACAGGATGCTTGCCTATAGTGATACGCTCATCAATGCATGCAGTTCGGGTGCATCCACAGCCTTCCGCTACCACCAGATGAGGGCCAACTGTAAGGTTGCATAGGAACCAGGTCCATTCGGGGTATTATTGAGCATCTGGAAAAAGGAGTGCGCACTATGAATGGAGCAAGACAGGAAAAGGTAGAGGGAAATATCTCCACTGTCTCAGCACAACGCGACCTCTCGGTTCTCTCAAACATACAGCTCTTCCTTGTTAGCATCGAGGGCAGCATACACCGTTTCAAGCCACTGTACTGAGATGAAATCAAGTGCATGCGACGAGGCGGGAGCGGCAGAGAGTTGCACGGATCTTCATAGTCCAGCTGTAGGCAGAAAACGGAAGCCAGATAGATTAAATTAACCACGTGCATGGGAATGCGCTGAAAACTTAACTTTGAGTTATTCGACGTGTGCTGGATACAGAATTATGTACAAGGTCACTCTTCATACGCAAGGTGAATTCAGGAAAAGCTGACAAGCAGTCGCTGAATTACGACCGCTTGAGAGCAACTCCCACTAACAGCCTTAGATGGTCGAAAGATTCCGTGGACATACCAATACAGCAATTGCTCCCCCCTTTCCTTCCCCCCCTGAATCGACGTTACACGCGAGTTTCCGATGAATGGCGAAACTGGCTTGGCAGTTGGGTTCCATCAAACACCCTATGGTCTACTTAGTTTAAACGGTGACTGCCATATAGCTCTTAGGATATGGTTGCAAGCGGAAGTTTTCGTTTTTAAGTGCAGTAACGAAGCTAGTCCACGCATATGGGAAGGAAAACCTATTAACAGCCATGGAAGCAGTGTTGTGAAGGGGCGAACAGCATCGCATGCAGTGAAAATCAGAAGGACAGCCAGGTCTGCAAGCCACATCGAGCGTAGCCACAAAAATGCAGCACTGCATCAGGGGCGCCCTAAAAAAAATACGTCAGATGCATACACAACATAACTGCACAAAATAGGAAGAAACGGCACCAATATTACAAGAGAGAGACTGCAGTTGCGAATGGATGCATTGGAACACTTTCCGATTCAATCCATCCAGAGAGGGTAGTAAACTTCTCAATTCTGAACATTAGTGACTCCACCAACTGGTCCTCTTTCACTGAAAATCACGGCTTGCAAGCCCGGTACATCCCAGTGCTCTTTCCATCTAAGTACCTGAGAAAGGGAAATGCACCGTAGTTCTACCCTCATTGGGTTTCGATTCAAGGCCTCAGCCAAGCTGGCAAACGGAAACAGTCGCGCATCGAGAGATTGTATACACGCTCTTTTCCCCTGGTGTCCCGCCCAAACACGGCCAGCCCCACGAAATCAAGCGATTCTCGAAGTACTTTTTAAAATTCCTGGTCATACGACTTGATTAGATGTTGTGCGCTGACAATATTTGTTCAAGGGTTGACCAGTATATCTCGGACCGTCGGCCCTGAATCATTTTGTGGCGGCATTCCTCGAATGCCTAGTCCTTGTAGCCCACTAACGCACTGTGCAAAAGAAAACGTGAATTCCTCCAGTTCATCGTCGTTCACCCAGTTGAGATAGCGAGGAATTCCCAAGTGAATAATCCCAGCTCTTGGGTGATACTCTGCAAACTTCTTCATTCTGGTCAGTTGTTCCAGACGGATCGAAATAGCACGCAGCGTATCTGTGAGCGCCATATTGCATAATGCATACTCTTCTTTCTCTTCTTTGCTGGCGTTCTTGTCAGGGAAATGCCTGGATTTCAATGCCTTCACATATGCATCAATCAATACTGCAACGGTATCAGGAATACCCTGCGGATTTATGTGCGCATGTTTCACACTGCATGGGGAATAAAATGAACGGAAGGCCGCAAGCACATCTTCAGACGATAAATTACACTTGTTCCTTACGCGTTTTGCAGCTTTTTCTAATGCATCCAATGTTCCCTTCAAACCCTCAGGTTGGCGCCAGGGGACCCACTGGGCATCGCCCCCTCCTGGCAGTAACGGTCCAGCCCCCCCGAAAGCATAGTGGACACCAGAAGGGCGACGGATGCGCCGAGCACAACGGGAAAAGTAGGTACCCTCTTCTGCACGCTTATTGCTGTGGACAGCTCATACAGGGGATGTGGCGCCTCTGGCACTGCACCGCCTGGAGTTTGACTTAGCGTCGGCCCGAACTTTGACGATTCAGCATACGGGCTCGTCGGTGCGCCTTCATTAATAGACTGCTGTTTCATGCCCAGTGCCTGTGCTGAAGCCGCATACAATGGAAGAGGAACTAAGCTGGGGGTCAACTGTTGAGTAATCTAGGCTCCAAGGAGGCGCCGGCCTCGCGCCGGGAGCAACTCAAGAACAACAGCTTTAAAGCACTTTTTGAAGCGGCAGCAAGCACAATTCCTCGAAGAGCACGAAGGAATGAGGAGGTCTCAGGGCTTATAGCTTACGGCAGTGAGCCGCGAACGCGGCACTGGAAAGGAGAGTAATGCGACCAGTTTGGCGAGAATGAAGGATGCCGTCCACCTACTGATATTCTGGTTTCAAACGAAAATATTATAATCGGTTTTCCTAGCGGACTGCCAGCAATGACTCTGTAAGGGTCCCCTCTTGGCCCGGCCTGCTTAGTGTGGATCGCAGGACGTGCGGGCTAGAGTGACGAGAGGATGATGTCGAATTATTCGTTTTCTTGCTCGTTTGCACAGGGAATTTTAGTTTATGAGACCTTCAGCTCCTTGTTTTTCCCTCTTTCCTGCTGTTTCAGCTCGCTGTTGTGCTTGGTCTATGCCCCCGCCACTCTGGCACTCTCGAGCGGTTCCGGAGCGATTCCGGAGAGAGCCTCTTCCTTGTCAGTGTACAGAGTGTTGACAGCAGATTGCACATTTCGTACAAAAAATTGACGTATTGCGGCACCCTAAGGGAAAATGTAAATAGTTCACAAGGGTCATCGATATTATCCGGGGACCGTCGTAAGTTGCAAGAGAACCGGGGAAGTTCAGGCAAGAGTTCCAATGAAGCGGCTGAGCTCTCCTACAGTCCTCAGGAGCTTGGGGCTGGGGGAGAGGAGGCAGCCTGAGATGCCCTGCCTGAGATGAGTTACGACGCACCTCGCTGCAACTGGTGTTCACCTCACGTGCAAGCACAACGGAGGCCTAATTGATTATGCATGCATAAGTACTGTTCACAACTGTCGAACACATGTTTGGCCCTTGGTAGGTAGCCTGCACAAAAGTGAGTTCAGGCAGGCCATACTACATCTGCCACCCGACTTTCACCCAAGCAGAGCACGCATTTGTGCCTGGTCACCCAACAAAGAATAGATGGACGGAGGGCTGGGAGCTCATGATACCATTTCTGCTATTACGATAAACGTTTCGACATAATCGTCTCGCCTAACAAGCAAACGTTGGGGTCCTGGCAGAGGCAGAGCCGCAAGGCGCAACGTGTCTGCATATCCCAACCAAAGAAAGAAAGCAGCGTCAACACGACAGCTTCCGCAGGGGACGAACATACAGAGGGGGGCAGGTGCCTCCAGGCGTGCACACATTTCAAGGCTCTCTTATGTGTTCGCCGGTGCTTGTTGCAAGGCGCTTGTCGGTGGGGAAAACAGCAGTGTGGCGTTCGTCTTAACCGCAAAAAGGATTGAGCAACTGAAGCACAATAACCATAGGCTTTGCAATCTGTTCGTAAGCCAGAGTGCGGGAAGCAGGCGGAGTGATGCTGCATTACCTCTGCTGTTGCGTCGCTTCGGCCGGCTTGCTTGCTGTTGCCGCGCTTGATGTTGCATCTCGTGCTGTTGCATCGCTTTGCGCTGTATCTGTAGGTGTTGCCTCATTTGCTGCTGACTTACGAGTACGCGGTGCACCTGCTGAGGGAGCTCCTCAGCCATAGGTTACGCTACTGCACGATGCAGGTTCTCGGAACCAATGACACGGAAGTGCAGAAAAAGTTTGACAAGCTCATGGAAGACTTTAAATCACTCCAGCTCATCAAGGAGGTGATACATGACAAAACCATGTTATCCAGAAGAATCCTAGACTCCTGCTGCGTGCGTGACAGCAAGTAGTTCGGCTAAACTGCTAACAGGGAACGGATCATCATCATCCAGGCGCTGCGGGACAGCTACTTGCGCAGCTGGAGGAGGCTTAGGAGAGGCAGAAAAAGGAGCAAATCAAAAACGCAATACAATTGTATTTACGGGAAAACATTCGAAGGAGTGTGTTACTCATGGGAAAGGCAGGCGTAGGCGGTCTGTCCGACGCTTGTACAGCAGCCCTTGGGGCTTAGTACGTAGCCTAGAGGGAAGCACAACAGCTACAATTATCTACAGTGTTCGTACTAAAAGCAAAAATAGGTTTGGTTGTAACTGTGAATATACCTTGCTGAATTAGTGGCGGCGAAGTGTGCTCCAACTCGTCTCGGGAAGCATCCTCTCCCCCATCCCATGCCCTTGGACAGGTGTGCCCAGGATGGCAAAGAACTGGGGGGGTTCAACTACTTTTGAGGAGCTCTTTGTTTATTCGTTGACTCGATAGCGGCACACGACGGTCTTTGGACGAGATCGAAGCCTTTCGTACTACAGGTAGAGGAACCGGGCATAAGAATAGTCACAATTCGGATTCCATAAACTGAACTAAGAGCAGTCGATCATTAATGCCAGTATGAATATCTAGCTACCACGTGTTTAGCTGGAAACGCTCAAATGGATTGTCGCACACCAGCAGACTCACTCCAGCCCTACTCCCTGCGCAGGAATCTCGTTGGATGCATGCGGGAGCGATCAGGCGAGTTGGCGATTGTGCTTACCAGAGGAAGTATTCTCTTTTTTAGCCTGCCTAATCCTATTACATTTAAATTGTTTGTTATTTGGGGTGCCGTGTTTGCCGTTATTTCTTTGCACGCTCACCCGGCGTTCCGCGCCCAGAGTCGATCTCGGTCTCCTTGGTTCCCCTATTCTCTGCTGGCACCTGCGATGTTTATTTCCATGACTGCTTGAGTGATTTCTTTTCTCTGCATGGTTTTTTGTTTTTCCGAAGTACAGGTCCCTTCCGCACAACGTCTCCACATTAGACTTGTGCGTTCGTGGGGATAGCTGAACTTACTGAAGAATATCGTCTTTTCGACTCCGCGTGGCAGAGCCACTCGAGGTTCCTCTCAGAATGGATATTATGGGTTCTGAAAAACCAAACAGTGAACTGGAGGTAGGTGCAGCTGCAAACGCCGCACATCCACCACAAACATCAGCGTTGTCGGATGTCACGGAGTTCAGCCAAGAGGATGACCTTAACATCGGTGACGAACAGGATTCATTCGTTGAAACCTACACAAAAAGAAATAAGTTCGTGGGGTCGGCGGTGAATCGTATGATAGCTATACTCCTCATGTTTGTTCTTGTCTTGGGGGGTTGGAGATTGGCTGTCGGCGATAAAAAGCGACGAGTACTTGGAGAGAAGGTGCCTACAGACGAAGAAGGCATTAGGAAAATGGTGGAAGACTTAGTGATGTCTACCCAGCGTTTTTCTGATGAATGGAATTCTTCCTCTAGAGAAGTGCGTGATGCCTTCAATAGCAATTTTACCTGCAGCTTATGGCGGAAGTGTGACACTGTGGAAACGGTACCCGAATTTCTTAGAAGAAATGTGGGGAATATCGATGCCCTCTCGCATTTTAATACGGAAGTTGGCCTCCTGGAACGAAGAGGACGTGCGCTGCGAGTTTTGCTATGGCAGGCTGTTGCTGAAGCTGGTAGGACTCGTTTAAAGCAGCTGAAGGATCTAGAGATTTTCTCAGAGCGGAACGAGGATTGCCCACTCGTGATGTTACGGAAATACGCCGGGGCTAAGTCAATAGCCGATTACAGTTGCAAGGACGGCGAAGCTACATTCGGGCATTTCTGCCGACGTCTCGCAGCATGGGGATTCGTGGGGTTGAATACAACGGATGACTCAGGTCCTGTGGTTCCCGTGAAACTCGCCGATCGGGTGGCTGATCTTGTTTATCTGAAAAAAGCCGCATCTGATGGTGATGCTGCAGTGACGGCGATATTCGACACGTTCGTGGCAACTGTAGAGCGAGCCCAACAAGGGCTTGACGATGCGGAAAGGGAAAGACTTGAAGGGTATTTGCTGGACGTAGACGGGCGGCAGTTCCCCATTTCGCGCTTGGCGAGGCATATCTCCACAATTGAAGACGCGAGGAGGGACAGTGGCGTTACCGCTGCAGATGTGGAGAAGATGCGGAAAGGGTGGAGTGCCGGTGGCCTTCAGCGTGCGGCAATTAAATTATTGAGTGAACAACACGTATCATATTCTGTTTCTGTTGATATTAAGCGCTCCTCCTTGCACGGCTGGATACGCGCCAGCGACCTTTCTTTACCGGACCAGACGGTGTTGGAAGTTGCAATTGCGCTTACCTAATGCATCTTATCTTCGTGCATTTGGTGCAGACAATGCTGTAATGAATTATTCTGTGATGCGGAATGCGGCTTTGCTTGCTTTTTGCATCCGTCTTGGCATGCTACAGGCGTAATTGTAGCTGCCTTGCTCGGGGCGCCAAGATGCCGTGGTTGGCAAGCGGGTGCACCTCGCCTTGTTGCATGAACATGCATTGCTCTGTTTAGCATGCATTCAGAGCATCTCGTCACGTGAGATCACATATTTGAAGTTGATTTCTAAACATGCGTGGCCTGTATTCGTACCCTCCGAATGCAACGACAGCGCCGTCACCGTCTTAAATGGAAGTGAAACCTGCCGTGCAGATTCCATACAGAAGGACGGTGGCGGGTTTCAGCAAGTTCGCTTCCATTGTTTATGCCGGTTTAGGGTTGTTAGAAACCTTTTCTCCAGGAAATATTACTTCTGTAATACTTCCGAAGGCAGAGACGTTTGGCAGCCCTGGTGCTGTGCGAGAACTATTTTAGTGTATTAGATAGAAGCAAAGCGTGCCAGTTGAACTCATCAATTTTTACCGGAAAATTTCTGGGTGCTTTCAAGCCAGACGGCGGCTCAAGCATCTTGCAGATGCATGGAGTCAGGCTCACTCTTTGTTGAGAAAAGCAGTATGGCTTTCGCTGTGAGCTAGATGCTTTTAGGAATCAGTACCACAACCTAGAACTAGTACCACAACCTAAAACTTACTGGTATGCTAAGCAGTCGACTGAACGTACACATTTTCAGGTCTGAAGAAAAACCCAAGAAATGCGCTTGATTCACCTTGTTGACTCCACCTAATCACAGCCACTTAAGCTGAGTTCATATCAACCGTGCAGCGCCACGTACGTGGGTATATTCGTACGGGTTACGTTCCATTTTTGCAAGGTGGAGCCAGTTGAAGCCATGTAAGTAGCGTAGACACGCGCATACACGGGGTAATCTTTACTCGACCGAACTAGCAACACCGGGAATCGCTACTGCTGTTGCTACACCTGACGCTATGGGTACTGCTGCTCTTTGTAGTGTTGTTGCTGCTGCTGCTTTTGTTTTCGCTGCTGCAACACTCTCGTTCCCGTTTGGGTGTTCCTTTGGTTCCAGGGTTCCTACATAATTATTCAATCAAGGCAGTTCCTTCGTCTCATATCGACTCTAGGCTGGCTACAGAAGTTCTGCAAGGCTGTGGGAACAGGGTTGTATCCGCACGTCAGCTGCGCTGAGAGGGTGTCTCAGCACGGTTGTAGAACAGAGATGCCTCTTCGTGTGCGATGAGCAACCCATATCACGGCTTGGCCAAAGTTTGGACAGGTAGCGATGCCAGTTCTCCAGCGAAAAGCTTTCTAGTATCCTCCCCTGCTTGCTAGAGGTTGGGTGGTACGTCACTGTTTTGTACAGCATGCCCAATGGTGTCTAGAAGACAAGCTAAGAAAGACTGTACGAACAGACTGTACGAACAGTGACTGGAAATACCTTGCCCATTCGGGGTTTACAAGGACAAAAGAACTCTTTCTGATGCAGGCGTTCGGCTTCCAGCTACGAAGCATTGAAATTACCGTGGCGTATTCTAGGGGACAATAGTCCTCCTTCCGTTTGGTTTTAGGAGGCATTGCAACTGCAACGCAGGCACTGAGCACTTCCAAGCTAACGCTTGTGAACAATTAAAGAGTATTTCAAATGCCCCTTGCCAGCTAGATTAATAAAATCGAAGTCTTTCGTAGGCTTCGTTGACAAAGGAACGCTCCTCAAGTTCCAATAATCATGCAGAGGCCAGGCATGTGCAGTAAGGCCCGACACAGCGTCCAGTGTATCATCTGGGAGTCAAACTTATTTAATTTAGCATTACGCATTGGGGGAAGCATCCGAAGGGCACTCGCATTACTCTCATTTCCGTGTGTTCGTCAGGACGACGATGCACGGCTCCTTCTTGTTGAATACCTTCGATTGATTAAGATACACTTCTGTACTGTACCAGGTGGGATGTGTGTAGAGTTGCTCTGCAGCAGCTAGAGTGTAGGGTAGGCCTGGAAAACGTTTTGCTGCAATGATGTATCAGCGGGGTGAGCCTTTCCAGTGTATGAATTGTGGTTGTGGAAGAAGAGACACTGGAAGATAAGAGCAAAGCAAAGCTACAAAGCTAGCCACATAGAATCTCACGAGTATTTCACCTAAGTTATAGCTTTGGTGAAAAGAAATGACAAGTAAACGCCTCCTGGAGAATAACGGCAGAGTCTGTAGTTCCTCTGAAACACGGTTCTGAGTATGTCGAGATAAAAAAATATGTTGCTGGGGAATACTTTATATTGCTTTCCTCTTATTGAGAGTCAGGATCAGGTACTCTCCTGATAAGAACGACTAATGATATCAGCACCTTACCCGCAACGAAAGGAAAACCCTTAACCTCTACATCTCAAGTTTATGAAAATAAACATATAAACCATCACAAAACCTAAGCTTGAACTAAGAATGGTGACGTTGAAGACCGAAGTCAAAACACCTAGGCTAGTGGAATATTGACTGACAGTAGTCGTCTAGCACAGTCTTGGTAGTAGATACTACTGAGCATAAGGCCTGAATTGTTGAATTGTTCAATCAACCGCAAATGCATGCAATCGAAGACATCGATTTAAAATATATGCATTCTTCCCCTCATCCTCTTTTCACTCTAAACAACATTACTGTTCACTATAGGCAATCCCTGCCTTCAGGTATCTATATATATGCGCATAGCTGTGGCTTAGTTTGGAGAGGAAGTTGAAGCTTATGAGCTGCAGCTACAGCACATATTGCTGCAACTTCGCAAGCGAGGATGCCGAAGCCCCTTTTATATGCATGCACTAACGCCTTATTTAATTGTTGTGCATTTTCTTAACTCTCAGCTGCCAGCCTATAAGCAAAGAATTGTGCAGACACAACAGGCTAAGGCGATGGTACTTTGTTTGGAAGATCTGCAAGGAGTATCACCAATAGGCAAAGTAGACACCAGAAAGTTTGTTCTTCTTCATAATGAATTGCTGGGGAAGCTTAAAAAAGATATCCGCAGTTATATAGAGTCCTCCTACTAACTTCTGCTGTAAAGAAGGTCTTTCGGGTGGACACCGAGAGAAAAGAATGACATTTCTGCGTATCCCCGCAAAAATGAATAATAACACTTTTAAAGACATCCTGAGAAGTAAAACGCTGGTAGATCAACAGCAATAAGGCTCATGCATTTGGGTGTCTGTACACCTCAGTAAAGGCCGCCTCAGCAGCTGCGGGCTTGACAATTAGAATTTCATCTTTGCTTGGTAAGTTGAGTATTTAAATATGGTTATTTCAATTTTTTACTTACAGAACGCCTACCGTTAGCTGCGCTGTTCGGGCGCCTTCTCATTCGTAGCAGCAGCAGCAGCGGCAAAGCCCCCTACTGCACTAGCAACAGGAGCAGCAGCAGCATGTACACCAGCAGCTACTCCTGTAGCAGAGGTTTCTCTCAATTCAGATCGTCGAGACCCAACTGACTGTAACTGTGAAGAATTGCTTCCAGGAACAACAGCAGCCTCGTTGCAACAGCAGCAGCAGGAGTAGCAGCAGCAGCAGCAGCAGCAGCAGCCGGAAGCGAGCATCAAAAGGACCTCTGTTGTTGCTGTTGCTGCTCCTCGCGAAAGAACTCTTCTCGTCTCGCTCTTGTTCTGCTGTCTGTTGCAGATTTTGTTCGTTTGAGCTGCAGCAGCAGCAGCAGCAGCAGATCTCTCGCCTCCTTCGACTCCTGCTAAGCAGCAGAAACAGCCGCAGCAGCAGTGTATTGCATGCGTCTGCTGGCTTGCTGTAAAGTGCTGCTCTGCTGCTCCTGCTGGCTTCATCCTGCAGCTGAGGGCTTCCCGCTGCTGTTGCTGTCGCTGCTGCTGCAGTTGCAGCAGCGCAGCAGCAGCGAAGAAGCAACAGAGCCTGCAGCAAACGCTGCTACAGCATGTTCCCAGACGTCTCGAATCGACAGCTTTAAGAATGCGGCCTAGGGGCGAGAATGCCTCTCGCGGTGGGGCCGTGCCCCCGAGCAGCAGGAGCAGCAGCAGCAGCAGCAGCAGCAGCAGCAGCAGCACGAGTAAAAGCAGTAGCAGCAGCAGCAGCAGCAGTAGTAGTAGTAGTAGTAGTAGTCATACCAGCAGCAGCAGCGCCGTCACTATTGCATCTCTGTTTCCTCGCAGCAGCAGGTTCAGTTCCTACATGCGAGTGGAGCGCTGCAGCTCCGTGGGGCGTAGCAGCACCCATCAGCAGCAGCAACAGCAGCAGCAGCAGCAGCAGCAGCCGCTGCAGCAGGTTGTGCATGTTCACGTGGCCCTGCAGCGGCGGAGCCTGAGGGATTCAGACGTGGAGGAGTTTGTCCATTGGCTGTCGCAGTGCGTGCAGCAGCAGTCCCGCAGCAGCAGCAGCAGCAGCAGCGGCAGCAGCAGCAGCAGCAGCAGCAGCAGCAACAGCAGCAGCAGCAGCCCGGGGGTGGGCCGTCTGCCTGCAGCAGTGGTGTTATCAGTAGACCTGGCGGAGAACAGCATTACTGGCGCTGGGGTTACTTGTTTGCTTTCCTTTCTTTCTAGCTGCTGCAGCACTTTGAAGCTCAGCAAGCTGAAGCTGTTTAAGAACAGCATTGGTGATGCGGGTGCAGCAGCAGTTGCTGCCTACATCACAAAAGCAGCAGCAGCAGGATGTTTGCTGCTAGAGGAACTCCACATGTCGCACTGCAGCATCAGCAGCAGCGGTGCGCTGCTCGTTATGAATGCTGTTGCGGCTGCTGCTACTCCTGCTGCTGACAGCAGCAAAGAAAGTGCTGCAGCAGCAGCGGCTTCTGCTGCTGCTGCTCCTGCTGCTACATTTGTCTACCCACGTCTGGATTCTCGCAAGAAATCACATGTGCCGCTTTGGTTAAGGATGGAGTACAATGCAATTGCAGACCCAATGAGTCCGTTTGCTGCTGCTGCTGCTGCGGCTGTTGCTGTTGCTGATGCTGCTGCTGCTGCTGTTGGTGGTGTGCAACGGTGGCGCATGCCAATGAAGGGCTAACAGTTGCTGGTTTCTTTGCCGCAGCTTCCGTTGCACGTGCTGCAGCTGCAGCAGCGTGGGCAGCTGCTCTTGTTGCTGCTGCTGCTGTTGCTGCTGCTGGGCGTGCTGCTGTTGCTGCTGCTGCTGCTGGACGTGCCGCTGTTGCTGCTGCTGCTGCTGTTTGTGTGTGTGTACAGCTTTGGTCCGTCAGTGGGCAACCACGGCGAAACAGAAGAGAGGAGCTGCTGCTGCTGTTTGCTTCGCCGATAAGCAGCAGCCGCAGCAGCAGCACTGCACCCCAGCGCGCTGCTGGAAAGCCTCTGCACATTCTGCTGTACCAGTCGTGAGTCCTGCTGCTGCTGCTGCTGCTGCTGTAGTTGCTGTTGTTGCTGCTTGCTTGCTTGCCTCTGCTGCTGTTGCTGTTGCTTCTGCTGTTGGTGTTTGATTCTGCTGCGGCTGCTGCTTGCTTGTGCTGGTGCTGTTGCTTGCTTCTCCTGCTGCTTGTGCTGCTGCTGCGTTTGCTGCTGCTGCGTTCTGTAAGGGCTGGCCTTTGCCCTCGTGGGGGCTCAACGGAAGCTGTATGGGTTCAGGGTTTATGGTTTAGGGTTTAGGGTTTAGCGTTTAGGGTTTGTGTTTGTGGCTGCAGCTACATATGTATATGTTTGCGCACCAGTCTTCTGGAGACAGCCGCCGCAGCCCTCCATCTCGTTCGACAGCCTTGACTGTGAGGGCTTAGGGTTTAGGGTTTAGGGTTTAGGGTTTAGGGTTTGAGACTCACGCGTTGCATCTACTGCTGTAACTGTTGCTACTGCTTCTGCCGCTGCTGCTATTGCTGCTGCTGTTGCTACTGCTGCTGCTTTTGCTGTTGCTGATGCTGCTGCTCCACTGGGGCTGATTTTGTGTGCTGCTTTGCTGCTGCAGGCGGCAGCACCGCACTCTAGCGGCCATGCTGCTGCAGGGCCGGCGTCTGCTGCTACTGTTGCAGCGCCAGCAGCAGCAGCAGCAGGCCAGCGAGCAAGTTCAGCATCAGCAGCAGCAGCAGCAGGACCAGCAGCAGCAGCAGCAGCACCAGCACAAGGGCAGAAACTCAAATGCCCAGCCGCCAGCTATTCACGACGCTCATCTGATGACCCCACAGCCAAGCAGCAGCAGCAACAGCAGCAGCAGCAGCAGCAGCAGCAGCAGCAGCAGCAGCAGCGGGGCAGCAAGGGTGCGCTGAGCAGCAACACCAGCAGCAGCAGGCAGCAGCCAGTGGCAGCACCTCCCGGTAGTAACAGCCGCGGGCGTGACGCAGCTGCAGCAACAGCAGCAGCAGCAACAGCACCAACAGCAGCAGCAACAGCAGGAGCTGCAGCGGATCGACGGCCCGCCTCTTCGCGAGTATCGTATGCAGCAGCAGCAGCAGCGCCACCTGCTGGTGCTGCTGCTGCAGCTGGTACTGCTGCTGCACGCCCACCCCCAGCAAGTGAAGGCAGAGCTGCAGCAAGAGGACCAGCAGCAGCAGCAGCAGCACCTGCTGCAGCAACAGCCAGAGCACCAACAGCGGAGACCTCCCGCAGTCAACCCACTGCCTCTGCTGGTTCAGCAGCAGCAGGATCAGCAGCAGCAGCACCAGCAACGACGGGAGCAGCAGCTCCCTCAGTTGCAGCAGCAGGACCTCCAGCGGCAGCAGCCGCATCAGGAAAAGTATCAGTGAGAGGAGCAGCAGTCAGCCCCGCAGCAGCAAAAACAGCTGCGGCACACACTGCAGCAGCAGCAACTGCAGCAGGAGCAGCAGCAGCAGCAGCAGAAGATGCCAGTCCTGTTGATATTTTGCGCAGCCTTCCTCTTTATATTTTCGTTGATTCATCTGCTGTCACGCAGATGAGAGAAGGAACTTGTGCTGCTCACACGCAGGTCAGTACCTTGCTGCTGCTGTTGCTGCTGCTGCTGTTGCCTCTGCTGCTGTTGCTGCTGTTGCTGCTGCTGTTGTTGCTGCTGCTGTCGCTGCTGCTGCTGCGGGTAGTTGCTGCTGCTCTTGTGGGTGACACGGCATCTGCTTGCTGCTTGGTGCAGTGCATTGCTGCTGCTGTGGGGCCGCTGCTGCTGCATCTATCATGATTGTACTTCGTCTTCTTTTTCCTTATTTAGAAGACTGGCTGCAGCTGCTGTTGCTGCTGCTGCTGCTTATGCTGCGCTGCAGTGTGAGGAGCCTTGCCCTATCAGCTTTGCTGGGTTACGCCGTCTGTACAGCCAGGGGCTGCTGGCTTGCAGATGCCAGAAGCCTGCTGCTGCTGCTGGAGCAGCAGCAGAAGCAGCACATGCAGGAAGTTCAGCAGCAGAAGCAAATGCGTCTGTATCGGACAGCGACATTTCAGTCTTTCTTGTAACGGATTATGTAGAGCGGGAGGTTTCCCGCATACAGCAGCAGCAGCAGCAGCAGCAGCAGCAGGACGGTGCCCTGCAGCAGCTGCGGCAGCTGGCGAGTGATTTTCAAGTCGTTGAATATATTGAAGGGATAAAGAAGAGCCCCAAGCAGCCGCTGCCTCCGCAGCAGCAGCAGCAGCAGGGGCAGGAGCAACAGGAAGGCGAACAGCAGCAGCAGCAGCGGCAGCAGCAGCAGCAGTTTTCGCTGCTGTCACCCCAAGACCTCTCCCTCGGCAGCGCGCTGCAGCTGAGCCCTGACACGCTGGAGGCCCTCGACTTCGCGCTCTTGTGGAAGAAGCATTTAGAGGAGGTTTGCACGGGCTTCACTGCCAGCAGCAGCAGCAGCAGCAGCAGCAGCAGCAGCAGCAGCGACAGCAGCAGCAAGTCGAGCGATGGCCTCGTCTTCATGCTGACAGCTGACCCAGCTGTGAAAGTCTTTCTGCAGCGAGTTGCTGCTCCTTCTGCTGCTGCTGATGCTGCTGCTGCTGCTGCAGAGGAAAGGAAACCTCACGTGCCGTGCATGCTGCTAGAGGAGCTGTGCTGCTGTTTAGGTGCAGCATACCCTCATTTGCTGCAGCAGCAGCAGAGACGGCAGCTGCAGCAACAGAGACCTCTCTCAGCAGGAGATCTGCGTAGTCTGATGCTTGCTGCCCTAAAGCACCAGCAGGAGCAGCAGCAGCAGCAGCTTGCAGACGAAGCAGCAGCAGCAGCAACGTCGCCCTCCACAGCAACAGGTTGTGGAGGGGCTGCAACAACAGCTGTCTGTACTGCAGTAACTGCCCCAGCAGCAACAGCAGCAGCAGCAAATGCTGCTGCAGCACCCGCACTACCAGGAGTAGCAGCACCAGCAGCAGCAGCAACAGCAGCAGCAGAAAAAGAAGCAGAGTCGCGAGTGAATGGAAGTGCGTACAATCCTCTTTTTTCCTCGTTGATCACAGGCCTAACAGACGCTGCTTACAGCAGCAGAAACAGCAGCAGCAGCAGCAGCAGCATTATTACTAGTAGTAGTAGCAGCAGCAGCAGCTGCAGCAGCAGCACAGTAGTCAGCAGATTCTGCAACACCACAAGCCTCGCGAGTCGCACTGTGGTGACAGTTGAAGAGATAGAAGAGCTGCAGTTGCGGCAGCAGCAGCAGCAGCAGCAGCAGCAGCAGCAGCAGCCGCAGCAACAGCAGCAGCAGCAGCAGCAGTTGCAGCTGCACTTACCCCCCGGATTTGCCAGTGCCTCTAGAGGCCCCGAGACAGCAGCAGCAGCAGACTTCCTGTTTGCTTCTTACTTAGGTGATGATAATAAACACAATGGTATGCCAGAAGGAAGCAGCGACACTACGCCGATTGCTGCTGCTGCTGCTGCTGCTGCTACTGCTGCTGACAGAGCAGAATTGAGCTTCCCAAGCAGCGCAGCAGCAGCAGCAGCAGGAACAGATTCTTATGCTGCAGCAGCAAACAACAGAGAGGCCGAAGAGGCTGCTGCACTTCCCAAGCCTTTAAGTGCAGCAGCTGGCGGGGTGGTGGCGCATGCAGATCCGCAGCAACGAGCAGCTGCAGCAGCAGCTGCTGCTGCGCGCTCGCAGTTGCAGCTGCAGCACCAACCGCTGCAGCTGCAACAGCCAAGGCAAGTTGAAGACCCAGTGGGTGCGGCGCAGCATCAGCAGCAAGACTGGGAGCTCAAGTAGGTCCTGCAGCAGCAGCAGCAGCAGCAGGTGGTGCTGCTGGCGTTGTTGCTGCTGTTGCTGTTGCCGTTGCTGCTGTTGTTGCTGTTCCCGTTGTTGCTGCTGCGCTTTGCACTGCTGCTGCTGCTTGCGTTGCTAAAACGAGTGTTTTCTGTTTTCATCGCTGCTGCTGCTGCTGCTGCTGCATGCAGGGACGAGCTAATAACCGCCATAGCGATGGTGCAAGAACTGGCGACTCGCATTCGTCTGTCAGACCCAGCAGCAACAGCAGCAGCAGCAGCAGCAGCAGCAGCCGGTGGCAGCTGCGTAACTGATGGGGTTCTTGTTGAGGACCTCCTAATGCGCGCGCAGCACTGTGTATATCGTTGGCGTCGTTTGTTGCTGAAGCAGCAGCAGCAGCAGCAGCACCATCAGCAGCAACAACCGTGGGAGCATCAGCAGCGGCAGCACCCGCAGCAGCAGCAGCAGCAACAACAACAGCTCGCTTTGCAGCACCGTGATATGGCGTCTTCATGCATTAGCAGCAGCGTACTGGCTATACACGATCAGCAGCCGCAACAGCAGCAGCAGCAGCAGCTCGCGCTGCAGCAGCCGCAGCAGCAGCAGCAGCAGCTGCAGCAGCAACCGTGGGAGCAGCAGCCATACCCCCGGTGGCCGTTGCCGGTAGATCAGCGGCATACGCCTCCAACTGTATGGCAGCCGCAGCAGCAGCAGCAACAGCAGCAGCAGCAGCAACAGCAGCAGCAGCAGCAGCAGCAGCATGGAGGCCTTCTATGGGGTAGGGAAGCAGACGCATGGCAACCTCCTCACGTCTTGCAGCAGCCGCAGCAGCAGCAACAACTTTCGCTGCAGCAGCAGCAGCAGCAGCCATTGCAGCTGCAGCAAACATCATCAACAGTCTGGCAGCAGCAGCAGCAGCAGCAGCCACCGGCACCGCCGCAGCAGCAACAGCAGCAGCAGCAGCAGCAACCACCGCTTGCTCGGCAGCAGGTAGGCCAAGACAACTGGTCTGCTTCAGTGCTGCTGTAGAGTTGTTGTTGTTGTTGCTGCTGCTGCTGCTGTTGTTTTAGATTTGGTGCTGCGACTGGTATTGGTTTGTTGCTGCTGCTGGAGAAGCCTGTGGGAGCTGAAGTCAAGCAAGCAGCAGCTGCAGCAACAGCAACTGCAGCAACAGCAGCTGCAGCAACAGCAGGTGCATCACAAGCAGCAGCAGCAACAGCAGCAGCTGCAGCAGCAACAGCAGCAACAGAAAAGCAGAAGCTTTTGCAACAGGGGCTGCAGCTGCTGCTGCTTCCGCAGCAGGTGCTGCTGGAGCGCTGAGGTGTACGTACACCTGGCGTATGAGGCTTCTCTAAAGTCGATGATGCAGCAGCGTGCATTTGTTTATCAGCGCAACGTGCTGCTGCATGGACCCCATAGCAGCAGCAGCAGCAGCAGCAGCAGCAGCGGCGGCGGCAACAGCAGCAACAACAGCAGCAGCAACTGGAGCAGCAGCAAGAGCAGCAACGACCAGCAGCACAAGATGGTGCTTGTGTGTTTATTGTTTTTGTCTGTGTGTGAATCTTAAGACTTCTTATTTAATTATATAAACATAACAAACAAATACAAGAAAACAATTAATATAACGCTGCAGTTGCCCTTTGTACGCATAAACACAAGCAAATACAAATAATAAACAAACAAATAAATGCAAATAAATAAATAAATAAATAAATAAATATATACATAGTCAGCACAGCAACCAACAGGTATTAATAAACAAACTATCAATGCAATTAAAAAACAAACAACAGATAAATATATAAATATAATATATATATATATATATGTATATGTATGTGTATATATATTATATATAGGAATAGAAGCAAACAAATAAACAAACAAACGAACAGAAAACAAATACACAATCACCAACTGCTAATCGGCAAACAAATAAAACAAATAAACAAACAGACAATAAATACATATAAAATAAACAAACAAGCAATAGATAGATATAAAACAAATAGACAAACAAACATAAATGCATTTAAAGCAAATAAACAAACAAAAAACGAAGACAAATGAAAATAAGCTAGCAAACAAACAAATACAAAAAAAAACAAGCAAACAAATAAAGAAATGAATGCAAACAAATAACAAAAGTAAATAAACAAACAGAGAGAAAAAATAAACAAATACAAACAAATAAACAATCAACAAATATAAATACAGAAGCACAAATACAAATAAACAAATCTCAAACGAACAAACAATAAAAAAGTAAACAAATACAGAAAAGAATGCACACAAACAACAAATATAAATAAACAAAGACAGAGGAGAAACAAACAAAAAATAAACAAACAAATAAACAAACAAGCAAAAAATTAAACAACAAACAAATACAAAAAACAAAGAAGTAAACATAAAACAAAGAGAGAAATAAAAACAAAACAGAAAAACAAAGTACAGAAAAATAAACAAGCAAAAGCATAAAACAAAGCAGCACATAATTTGTATTTGTTTATTATTATTTTGTCTGTTTGTTTGTTATAATATTTGTTTATTTGTTTGTTTTTTGTTTATTTGTATTTATTTGTTTATTTATATTATTTGTTTATTTGTTTGTTAATTTCCATCATTTGTTTTCTCTGCTTTTGTTTGTTTTTATTAGTTAATTGTTTTTTATTTCTGTTTGTTTATTGTTATTATTTGTTTATTTGTTTTGTTTGTTTGTTTGTCTGCATTATTTGCATGCCCTTCCTATCTATTCTTTGTTTACTTGCTTGTTTGCTTATTTGTTTGTTTGTGTTTGTTTATTTGTTTGTCTATGTTTGCTTCTTTGTTTTGTTTATTTTTGTTTATTTACGTTCATTTATTTATTTGTTTTATTTGCTTATCAGTCTCATTTATTTTTTTTGTGTTTGTTTGTTTTACTCTTTTTACTTCTCTCTATTTTTTTAGTTTTTCTCTCAACTTCTTCATGCATATATATTATTTATCAGGTGAATATATATATGTATATATATAGGCTCCTCTAATTCTTTTATATATATATATATATATGTATATAAACCTGCTCTTTAATGTTATATATAATATATCTAATATATATATATATATGTATGGTTATATTGATAGTATATTTTTTAGTATTTGTTCGTCTAACGGTTTCCCTCATGTGTTTATTAAACTCATCTATAGAAAATACATATAATATATATATATTTGCATAGATATATATACTTATATAAACTCAATTATATATATCTATTTAATTAGATGTATGCACTCCGCTACCTGCTGCAGCAGCAGCAGAAGAGAATGAAAAGAAACATCGCTATTAACAAAACCAACAATCAAATGCATGCAAGCAAGACTTAAAACATGCATGCATGCATGCATGTATGCATGCATGCATGCAATCTTTTTCAGTAGTTTATGATAACCCCCGCCTCTTCTCTGTCTGCTGCTATAGCAGCAGCAGCAGCCGCTGCTACAGCAGCAGCAGCTGTTGCTGCTGCTGCAGTTACAGTTGCTGCTACTGCATACCCTGCTGCATTTGTATCTGCATTTGCTTCTACCACAGCAGCAACAGCAGCAACTGCAGCAACTGCAGCAACAGCAACAGCAGCAACAGTTTATGCTACTAGTGCAGAGGCAGTAGAGCTTTGATATTTCCAGGTTGCAGGTAGTTGTTTAGTTTTTCTGTAGTATCGTCCTAGTCTATGAATGCGCGACTCAATTAAAATCAACCGAAATTTGCTGTCGCAGTCTTTGCGATTTCTCTCTAAATGCTTTCTTACTGCAACCGCCTTCTTAATTAAAAAATATAAATCTTCGGGGATTTCAGGGGCTATGCCTGCAGCAGCAACAATAAATAATAAATAAATAAATTAATTAATTAATTAATATGTAAAAGAATATCTTTATTTAGATTTTTAGGCTGTCGTTTTTGTTTGCTTTGTTTTGTTTATGTCTTCACAACTGTTGTCTCTACTAAATATTTTATTTAATTTAATTTATTTGCATGTACTTCTTTGTGTGGGTAAATATTAACATAAAATAGAAATGCAGAGTAATATATATATATATATATATATATAAATTAATAAGTAATAAAACAATGATAAAGAAAAAATCATAAGCAAATAGCATCTAAATAAATAAGTAAAATGCTCGAACTAATAAATATATTTATTTTTATAATAATAAATAAAATAAACAAATACAAAAAAGAGAGGCATATCACAAAAAATAAAAATAATATTTAAATAAAAAATAATTAACTAAACAACAAAACAAAGCGACGTAAACTTAAGACAAACAAATAATAAAACAAAACAAATAAATAAAACAAACAAATAAAAAACCCAGGGAATGCACAAACAAATAAATAAATAAATAAATGAGAAGCAAATAAACAAACAAATAAAACAAAACAAACAAATAAATAAAACAAAACAGAAACAAGCAAATAAACAAAATGAGTGAATATAAAGGGATAACCAAAACAAAACAAACAAAATATAATAAGCAAATAAACAAAGAGATAAATAATAAACAATAAATAACAAATAAATAAAAATAAATAAATAAATAAATAAATGTTAGAGAGGGCGACGGCTGCAAGAACAAACAAAACGCTTTACGTTCAGCAACGCAATATCTCTCTGCTTTTTTTTGCGTGCATTGTTAGACCGCAAATATTATTAATTTAAATGAAGTCTATCAGTTGCACGCCGAATAAATAAACAAATAAACAAATAAATAAATAAAATAAGTAAACAAATAAATAAATAGATGAAGACAGACAAACAAACATGCGAGTACTCCGTTCAAACCCCAGCAAACAGTCGTTCATTAAATAACAAACACAGAAATAAACAAACAAAATAAATAAATAAATAAATAAATTTAAATAAATAAATTAGTCTATATACATACCTTGCTTCTTTAGTATGCGAAGTATTTTGCTGCCTGTCACGGCTTTAACTTGAGGTACGCCGAATTGATCTCTAAGAGTAACACCAATCTGTACATACACCGGAAATAAACAAATAAAAGAATTCAATTTGTTTATTTAATTCAATTAATTTGTCTTAATAGTTAATTAATTATCAATTTAATGCAATGAAAGAAAAGAGATAGGAGGCGGGCAGAGTCAAAGCAAACAAAAAGAAATTAAAAGTAAATAAACAACAGATGCTCCGATATTAACAAATAATCAAAATAAACAAATAAATAAATAAAATAAACAAATAAATAAAACAAATAAACAGAAAATAAACAAAAAGACAAGCCAGCAAGCAAACAAGGAGAGAGAAATGATAATAGAAATATCGTTAGGAGCCACGGACAAACAAATAAACAAACAAACAAACAAAACGACAAAACAAAACAAACAAACAACAGAAACAACAGAAGAAACGAGAGGGAAGAACAAACAAAAATAAACACAGAAAAACAAAACAAACACGAGCGAAGCAACCATCATAAGCAGCTCAAAGCAAAGGCAGAGAAACTGCATCGCTATCGCCTATCTAAACAAAACAAATTCAAATACAACAGAAACAAAGAAGACAACCTGCAGCTACCGCTGCTGCTGCTGTTGCTGCTGCTGCTGCTGAACATCACGGCTACACCGCAGCAGCATTTAACGAACGAAGAGGCAGCAGCATCAACAAACGCATGGGGATTCTGCTGATGAAATGTGAAGAAAAAACCAGGAAAAGAATTATCTCTGCTGCTGGAGCAGCAGCAACTACTGTGTACTGCTGCAATCCCTGCTGTTGCTGCTGCCGCCGCCTCTGCTGCTGCTGTTGCTGTTGCTGCTGGGTGTATAAGAACAAGAAGAGAGAAAGAATTAAATTACCTGAGAAGGTGTCTGCCCCTTTCTTGCAAGTTTTACTATATGCTCTTCTACTTCTTGAGGTTTTACTCGCAACCAACTGGGAGGCTTACGCTTAAAGGGAGGCGCTGGTGCGCTCATACCCTTACCGTTGCCGTACATACGCCCCATTGTGTTTTATTTGAATTTCTTTTTAATAAAATAAAAAAGAAAATACAATAAAACACAAAATATCCACAAAACCCCGCCAAAAACAAACAAACAAACCCCTGCACGCATTTATACACCGCAGAGAGCAGCTGCGCATACACCCCACAGACAATATGCATGCAGCCCCAACTGGTTGCTGCTGCTGCTGCGGTTATTGTTTATTATTATTATTATTATTACTAATATTAATATTATTAATATTAAAGCTTTACTTGTAAATGGAATACATTTTTTATATTCATTCACTGGGTTTTTGTTGATTTAAACGAAGCACAAAACTACCGGCGCTGCGCCGCGCCGTAGCCCCCAGCTGCATGCAGTGCATGCATTGGGTTTAGATAAATATATATCAATCTTCTTGTCTTTATTTCTCCTTACTATTCATTTTTGTATTGTTTTTATTCTAATATCCCCTTCGGGTCTCTCTATGGCTAGCCAGATAGCTAGCTACCTGGCTTCATCTAGCCTTTTTAAGAGTATATAGAGGCACGCCACTACTTCAGTCAGTGCATGCAAACAAAAATAATTTAAGAAATAAAACACAAAGGAAAAAGATGCTAAGAAACTCACCTGCAGAACTGATTCTGTAGGCAGACATAATGAAGGTAAGAAAGAATCAAATAAACAATAATATAGTAAGTATATAAACTATATATACAATATATATAATATTAACAATGAACATGTCGCCAACATATAAATATATATATATATATATATATACAAAAGAATATAAAGCATTTTGAATAATAATAAAATAATATAAGTTTTAAGCACAATATTAGAATTGGTGTTATTTATTACTTTATCATTACTATGTGCATTCTACTATATGTATAAATATATCACCCCTATAATTATTCATATTACTTATAATTTATATTAGATATAAACTATTAAATGATTTTTCTATTATCTGCTCATTTCCAATAGCCACGTTGTCGTTGTTGCTGCTGCTGCAGCAACAGCAGCAGCAGCAACATCAGCAGCAGCAGCAGCCGCAGCAGCAGAAGCAGCAGCAATTCTCTTTCCGCGCCGTATACAGAGGAGAACAATCTCAGCAGCAGATGCATTCATGCATTCAAACCTTAGCAGGTGTTGCGTCTCTCTGCTTTGTTTGCTTGTTCGTTTGTTTTATTTGTTTGCTTGCTTTATTTTGCTTGCTTTGTTTATCTTTTTGCTTCCACCGCCGTAATAACAGCTGTCTGCCTCTACGCATTAAATGCTGCTGTAACAGACCCAACAACAGCAGCAGCAGCAACAACTGGAGCAGCAGCAGCAGCAGCAGCAGCAAGCAAAATGCAAGCGGGTTTTTTCTTCACTTTGTTTTGACGCCATTGAAAAAAAAAACTCATATTAAAACCACAAAAAAGCAACTTGCAGTTCCTCCAGCAGTTTAGGGTTTAGGGTTTAGGGTTTAGGGTCTTAGCCGCCCCTCCTGTACACTGAGAGGCTGCAGGCGTTGCTGCTCTCTTATGATGCCTTCTTCTCCCCTGCTGCTTCTTGATGCTGTGTCGTAGCAGCTGCTGGCTGCTGCTGGTGCTGCTGCTGCTGCTGTTGCAGCTGCTGCTGCATCTGCTGCTGCAGCTGTTGCTGCATCTGCTGCTGCTTCAGCGCCTCTTGCAGCAGCAACCTTTTCTTGTCGTCTTCGCTTAACTCCTCTGTATCCTCATTGGCCTCTGCTGCAGCTTCTTCTTCATCATCTTCTTCTGTTTCCTCGCCTTCTTCTTCTTCTGCTGCTGCTGCTGCTGTTGCTGCGTCAGCTGCAGCAGCAGCACAACACGCACGGCGCAACCAAAAATTGCATACATACATTTAACAGCAGCAAAACCGCAAGTCAAACGAGCCTAGCAGCAGCAATAGGAGGAGCAGCAGAAACATCAACGGCAACAGCAGCAGCAGCATGAACAGCAGCAGCAGCGACAACAACAGCGGCATCAGCAACAGCAGCAGTAGCAATAGGAACAGCAGCAACACCAACAGCAGCAGTAGCAGCAAAAACAGCAGCAACAACAGCAGCAGCAGCAGGAAAAGCAACAGCAACAACAACAGCAGCAACAGCAGCAACAACAACAGCAACAGCAGCAGCAGCAGCGTACATAAAGCAGCATCAGTAGAGGCATTCGTTTGGAGGGCCTGTTGTACTGCTTGAGCGGGTTTAACTCCCTGTTGAATTAATTCTAGAAAAAAATCATTTTCTTTTAATCGCTGCGCTAAACTCTTTTTAATAAACTCGCGCTGCAGCAGCTGCATGTACACCGCAAATTGACGCCTCTCCTCCTCCCAGTATTCTTCTTCTTTATATACTCCGCTAGCTAAACCTCCAGGGATAAAGGATTCAACATACTTCTTATCAATCTGAAGATATATAAACACATTCATTTTAATTAATTAATTAATTAGTTAATTAAAATGAATGTGTCAAACAAATACAATAATATAACCACAAGGAATGAAAGGATAGACAGACGTCTTAAGAGAGAAGAAATTCAAACAACCGATAGATAATAATAAAAGAAATAAATAATAATAAAAGAAATAAATAATAAAACAAATAGATAAAATCAAACAAAATAGCAACAAAACAAATAATAAACAATTAATGAAACGAATACTAGATAATAAAACAAACCCTAAAGAATAAAATAAATAAATCAAGATAAAAGAATAATAAAAGGTAAAAATAAAAACGTACAACATCAAAGATTTGTTTAACTTCATCGTTTTCTTCAGTCGATATAAATTTTATTTTTGCAGCGGTGCGCGAAGGCAGAAACGGCGATATGCAGCTCCAGAAAGTCTATGAAAATAAAAAAGTAAACTTAAATTAAATTATCTAAATTAAATTAAATTAAATTAAATTAAATAATTAAATATAAATAAATAAATAAATATAGAATAGTGCAATACATTAATAAAATGAATATCTGCAAAAAAACAAAGACAGTTTAATAAAATGACTCATAAATAAATTTAAAACAATTAAATTAACAGATAAAAGTCTAAGAAGAGAAACCAATAGATTTAAATTAAATTATTTATTAAATAAATTACATGACGCGCAATAATTAAATAATTAAATCGAATAGAACAATTAAATAAACAAATAAAAGTAAAATAGACAAAACAAATAAATAAATAAATAGAGTAAACTTAATGAATAAGATTAACGAATATAAGAAACGGACAAATAAACAAACAATATAAATATGCAAATAAAACAAACAAAAGATAGATATAATATAATAAAGATCACACATTAAATAGCTTTTGCAAGGAAATAAACAACTCGAAACAAATATAAATAATTTCAATGCATAAAAATATACAAAAGTTAAATAAATAGTAAGATGAACAAAAACAACAAACAAAATATATCAAACAAGCAAAACAGATGCAACAAATAAGATAATAAAATAAATAAAGTACATAAACTTGTAAGAGTAAAATATATGAAGTGCATTAAAAATAAACAAAAAAATAATCAAAACAAATCAAGCAAACAATCAACGTCTGAAATTGAAACCGCAGCAGCAGCATCAGCAGCAGCAGTAGCAGCAAGAGCAGCAGCAGGACAGCAGCAGCAGCAACACCAACACCAGCACAAGCAGCAGCTCGCCAAGCATCAACAGGAGCAGCAGCATCAGTACAAGCATCACCAGCAGCACAACCATCATGAGCAGCAGAATCAGCAGCAGCAGCAGAATCAGCAGCAGCAGCAGAATCAGCAGCAACAGCAGAATCAGCAGCAACAGCAGAATCAGCCGCAGCAGCTGCATTAGCAGCAGCAGCATTAGCAGCCTTATAAATGAATAATTATGTGTTGATTACAGAGAATATCCAGGGCGTATTAATAAGAAAAGCATGTGAGAGGAGCTCAGCGTATATACACTGAAATATCTGCAGAAATTGAAGAGCAAATGAGAAGGTAGGACAGACAAAACCTGCAGAAGATTTTGTATAATCAACAATAAAACAAAAGCCTCCGTATACACCGCAATGCCGATCTCGAGATTGATTTGCACGCTCTGATGTATACACAAGCAAATCCATGCTGCTGTTTATCATGTTGCTGTTGTTGTTGTTGCTGCTGCTGCTGCTGCTGTTGTTGCTGTTGGTGTTGCTGCTGCTGCTGCTGCTGCTGTTGTTGGTGCTGCTGCTGCTGCTGCTGTCTTGGCCTTCTTCGGCAGGGGACGGCCTGCAAGAGGAGAAAATAAACGATGGAGACGAAGCTGCTTCTGCTTATGTCTGCTGCAGCTCCTGCTTCTGCTGCTGTTGCTGCTGCTGCTGGCGACTGTAGTGAGTTGTGCTGAATTCTCGCGAAGTGACGTAGGGCTAATTGCTGACGTCATGTACTTAGCTAGCTAGCTAGCTAGCTAGCTTAGAAAAGCTGTGGACTTGTGTAGCTAGCTATGTGAATATCTCACTAAACATGAAGAGAGAAATGCCCACCCGGGCAGACATTTCCAGCTAGCTAGTTAGCTGGCTAAGTAGCTAGCTAGCTAGCTAGCCAGTTAGATAGCTGCTTACTATATGTCGCTAGCCAGCTAGATGGGGAAGTTGGTTGGTGAGCTACCCAGCTAGCTAAGTATCAAGTCAGCTAGATATATAGCTAGCTGGCTAGCTATCTAGCTAGCTATCCAGCTAGATAGCTACCCAGTTAGGTAGCTCTCTAGTATTCATGCGTATGTATGGGAATGCGTGTAAGTGTATGTTTGATTTGAACCTGATATAAATAACTGGATGGCCTTGCTTAGTAAAACCTCTTCTATAGACTTGCGCTGTCTTTGTTCCTTTCTTCGCTTGCTGCGGACTCAGCCGCTCGGGACGCAGCAAACGACGCGTAGAAATCGCCTCGAGAAGCAAAGCGAAAGCGCGAGGAACATTCCAATTGCGAGCTAACAACATCCTAAGAAAACACTCAAATATTCATAAATATTCAAAGTATAGTCTTGAATATACTGAAATAGTCATCCATATACTTGAAATATTCATCAACATACTTGAACTATTCATGAATATACTGAAATAGTCATCCATATACTTGAAATATTCATCAACAAACTTGAAATATTCATGCATATACTTGAAATATTCGTGAATATACTGGAAATGTTCATAGAATATACTTGAAATGTTCATAGAATATACTTGAAATATTCATGCATATACTTGAAATATTCATGAACATACTTGAAATATTCATGAATATACTTGAAATATTCATGAATATGCTTGAAATATTCATGCATATACTTGAAATATTCATGAACATACTTGAAATGTTCATAGTATATACTTGAAATATTCATGAATATACTTGAAATATTCATGCATATGCTTGAAATATTCATGAATATTCTTGAAATGCTCATAGAATATATATTCAAGATATATACAAAGATTAATGATATACATATTATGCTGATAGTATATATTATTGTGTGTATAATATATATTTTTTTACTAAAATATATTTAATAAATGTGGTTATACACTCCGCTTGCAAACTCCGATGTGATTAAAATAATTCAAATTGATAAATTCAATCCTTTTCTTTTCTTCTGTTGAAAACGAAACAAAGAAAGGCAAAGCAAAGCAAAGAAAAAGCAAAGCAAAGCAAAACAAAACAAAACAAAACAACTAAAGAAGAGAAAAGATTAAAATTACCTAAGAAGAGTTTCCGGGTCGCTCGCCCAATGCAATTCATAGCCAGTCAAGGGATAAGTCAGTTGATCTTGCTGCTGCTGCTGCTGCTGCTGTTGCTGCTTCCGAAGCTCCTGTTCCTGTTGCTGCTGCTGCTGCTGCTGCTGCTGTTGCTGTTGCTGTTGCTGTGGCTGTTGCTGCTGCTGTTCGTGTTGCTGCTGCTGTTCGTGTTGCTGCCGCTGGTGCGTTTGCTGCGGTTGCTGCTGCTGCGGTTGCTGCTGCTGCTGCTGCTGCAGTTCTTTTGCTTTACTTTCTTTTACCTTTAGAAGCCTGAAATGTTCTTTTCTTAGTTTCGCCTTCAGCTGTGCAATGCGGTGCTGCTGCGATTGGGAGAGACCCGAGACAATTGCATGAAATATATTTAAAATAGGAGGAGGCCCTAAACAAGGCCCATCATAAGCACCAACTTCAACAGAAGACATTTTAAATATGCTGCTGCTGCTGCTGCTAATGCTTATAATAATAATAATAATAGCAATAGCAATAGTGCTGCTGCAGACGGTTGAGATGATGGTGTTAAGATTAAAATAATGCTCGGGCTGCTGTAGATGGTTCTGCTGGTGCTGCTGCTGCTGTTGCTGCTAATAATAAGAGTAATAATACTGCTGCAGACAATGTTTACGCTGCGGCTAATAATAGTAATAATAATATCGCTGCTGCTGTACGCGATTGCGCTGCAGCTGCTGCTGCTACTGACAATGCTGCGGCTGCGGATATTATTAATGCTGCTGCTGCGGATGCTGATAGTGAAAATGCTGCTGCTGATTGTGATGTTGCTGCTGCTGATCGCGCTGTTCCTGCTCTTGTCGTTGCCGACAGCCTTGTTGCTGGTGCTGTTGCAGGTCTGCCTTGACAGTTGCTGCTGCTGCTGCTGTTGCTGCTGCTGTTAGTGTAGCAAACGACTAGGGTTTGCCTGTAGAAGATCCTGGGGGGTGAGGGGAAAGGAGCGAATGTACACTGACAAGAAGATTCAAGTACAACACGACGGCACACAGGGATGAAAAAGCAGCGAAAGTAAAATAAATAGACGCCAATTGAGCCAAAACAAGTAAAAAATTATTAGTTTGAAAGAATTTATTCAAAAAGATTAAGTATTAACTCGCTTTCTTCGTTTGGCTTCCCTCCGGTGAGCAACCGACTCGCGCGGGAGTTGAGCTGCCTATACAGCCCAGCGTGTGATGCATGATTAGCATGAAATAAAAACAAATTCAAGAAAATAAAAGGCAAAAACAAACAAATAAGCCATTTCCCTTCTTGTTTATTCAAGAACGAGGAAGAAAACACAGAAACTCAACCCTCTACTATTACCAGCGGACCAGACACAGAAAGCGAATGAAATCGCAAAAAAATTAATAATGCGGAAAGGAAAAATAAAATTTTGATAATATTAATTTTTATTTCATTGAATAATAGTAAAAACGAAAAATGTTAAAGAGTTAATTTCATACTCTGCCTTCCCCCCAGCCAGGCGTGCAACTGTACACACACCTCACAAGAACGTAAACTTTCAAATCCAAACGCCAATAGGTTTTCTTAGCCTTCAACTGTAAAGTTTTCAAGCTTAATAACAATTCAACTAAGCAGGTGAAGCTAGAAAAGAATCTGTAGCTGGCGTATGCATCGCACAAAGATACGTAGAAGAACCGCACAACGCAAACGTCTAACATATTAAAGGTATCTTCTCCTCTAACAATATATACACGCCTTTAGCTAGCTGTGGCTAGCTGTAGCAAGCTGAAGCTCTCTGCTAGCCTTTGTTCTTCCTCTTCTGTCTGTCTCTCTCATTCTCTGTCTTCGTCTTTGTTGCTGGTTTTTTCCCATTGTTTGTCCTTCTTGCTTAATCTTATTTTTCTCACTTCAATAATCTTTGTTTGCTTTATTTTGTTTATTTGTTTGTATGCTGTCCAGTGATTTGCCTCCACCCCAACACATCTTCACTTCTACCAGATATTATTATAATAATTATTATGTAAAATATATATTATATTGATACATATTATATACAAAATATATACAATATATTATATAATACATACGATATTGTATATTTAAATAGATTTTAAATAGATGTTCTATAGATTGCGTTTATCTTTGAAAATAATACTGATGTCTGCATCCGCAAATAAAACAGCGGCAGAATATTAAAATAAAATTTCGCGCGCTTTACGCGGAGTCTGTACAGCCGCATTAGGGTTTAGGGTTTAGGGTTTGGGGTTGCCACAGGGAGGAAAGGAGCAGCATCAGTCCAGTGGCCGTTGCCTGCAGCAGAAGCAGCCGCAGCAGAAGCAGCAGCAGCAGCAGGATCAGCAGCAGCAGCAGCAAATTTAAACTCAAAGACAAGCCAAAACGCAACTGAACACTTATAAAATATATACACTCAACACAAAAATAAAATTATTAACCTTTATAATTCGTCTCCCTATCAATCGAAAGGGTAGGCAAGCAGCTTTAGGGTTTAGAGTTTAGGGTTTAGGGTTTACTGCCAGGGGAACGCTGCAGATGAGGCCCAGAGGAATGATAATGACGAGCAGCGGGAGAAGCAGCAGCAGCAGCAAACCTCCAGCAGCAACAAATGCAGCAGCAGGCAGCAGCAGCAGCGGCAGCAGCAGCACTGCTGCAGCAGCACCAAAGCGTTGCCACTTGCTTTCTCCCTGTAAATCCGCAAACCCCAAACCCTAAACCCTTGAATCTTCACCCGAACCCCTAGACCGAGGGTTTCGGCTTTGAGCTTATGGTTTAGGGTTTAGGGTTTAGGGGTTAAGATGGGGGGCCTAGTTGCTGCACTCTGCCGCGTGGTGGTTTAGGGTTTAGGGCTTAGGGTTTAGAGTTTACTCGCAGCACTTCAGTCTGCCTTCCATACAATAAATATACCCCAAAGGCAACAGGCAGCAGGCCGCAGACCTGCAGAGACACCACAGAGAAACCCTAAAGCCTAAACCCTAAAACCTGAACCCTTACCATTCGTGCGCTCAGAACTAAACCCCAATCCTTAATCCCTAAACCCTCAACCCTAAACCCTAAACCCTTAACCCCAAGCCCTAGACCTTAAACACTAAACCCTAAACCCTAAACCCTAAACCCTAAACCCTACAGGGAGAAAGCTCGCGGCGATTAAGCAGAGAAAACCCGCAGTAATCGGCAGTCCTGCCAGCAGCAAAGAGGGAACAGCAGAGAGGAGTGTTGGTTGCTGCAGCAGCAGCTGCAGCAGCAGCCGCATCTGCTGCTGCGTCGTCTCGGCAGCTCTATATACAAATCTCCTCCATGGCTGCAGCAGCAGCATCTGCTGGTCTTGCTGCTGCTGCTCTTGCTGTTGTTGCTGTTGCTGCGGCTGATATTGCTGACACAGGGCTGCTTGATGAGCCTCCTCTCCGTGGACAAACTGCTGCTTCAGTGGTGGTTGTTGTTGTTGCTGTTGCTGTTGCTGTTGCTGCTGCTGCTGCTGCTCCTGCTGGTGTTGCTGTTGGTGGTGCTGTTTCTGTTGCTGCTGCTGCTCTTGCTCTTGCTGCTGCTGCTGCTGCTCTTGCTCTTGCTGCTGCTGCTGCTGCTGCTGCTTTGTGGTTGGCCAGGCCTCCTCATTTAGAGGGCCTCCCAAGGAATTGCTGGTTGGTGTTTCAGCTGCCGTTTCTGCTGCAATTTCTGTCTCTGTCTCTGCATCTGCCTCTGCTGCTGCTGCTGCTGTTGATGCTGCTGCTGTTGCTGTTTCTGCTGCTGCTTCTTCTTCTGCTTCTGCTGCTGTTGAGGGCACAGCAGTTGCTGTAGTCGAGACAACAGGGCTGCAGCAGCTGTCTCCAAGAGGATGCTGCAGATGAATTCCTTTTTCTCCTTTGCTTCCGATGTGTGCTGCTGTCGCATTAACTAGCTCCGCCTTCAGCTGCTGCTGCTGCTGCTGCTGTTCCTGCTGCTGCTGCTGTTCCTGCTGTTGGTGTTGCTGCTGCTGATGTTGCTGCGCTTCACTCCGCTGATACAACGCCACTTTAGGCGTTTCTTCTGTCGCTTTTAGACGCAGAAGGTTTAGCTGTTGCTGCTGTTGCTGATGCTGCTGCTGTTGCTGCTGTTGTTGCTGCTGCTGCTGGTGCTGCTGCTGGCGTTTCTGGGGGAGTTTCGTTCGAATGTTGAATAATGAACGTCTCCTGTGTTTGCTGGTTTTGCCTTCTTCTTCTTTTTCTTCTTTTACTTTTGCTGTCTCCTTCTGTGGGAGCAGCGCAGCACCAAATGACTCGAGAACCTCTGTGCTTTTCCTTCGTACATCCTGTTGATGGTTCTGCTGCTGCTTCTCATGTTGCTGCTGCTGCTGCTGCTGCTGTTGGAGGCCCGTGGAGGCCCAGGCCCCCGGCGCAGGGTGTGGGGATTCCATCGGCGAGATTGTGCTGCACAGATAAAAGACCTAGGAAGCAGCAGCAGCAGCAGCAACAGCAAAGCAGCAGCAGCAGCAAACAGACCCGTGTTGCCTCTGCAGGAGTTGCTCTATGCGTTGTATTGCAGCAGATTGAAGCAGCAGAAGAAAAAGACAGCGAAAAATAACAGAAGAGCTGACAGGCAAATTAAGCGCGATTATTTAGGGATATTTATAGGAGGTGAATAACGAAGGGAGTAATTAGTGCTAGGTAAAGAAAGACAAGAAGACACGAGGCTGCTGCTGGTGCTGCTGTTGCCGCTGCTGTTTTCGCTGCTGTTGCTGCTGTTGTTGCCGCTGCTGTTGTGTGTACGGGCTCAAGAAGGGGATATATACCAGAAACAAACTCCAGACACACAAGGCAGAGCAGCGGCAACAGGAGCAGCAAGAGCAGCAGGAGCAGATGGGAGGTGAAGTACTTGATTATTTCGTTGTTTTATTTCGTATTTGTTTGGCTTTAATCTTTTCGCTTATAGAAGGGTGGCTTCTCACGGGGCAGATGATGAAGAAGCGACGGCCGCCCTACAAATTATAGGCGGAGCTGAGGCTTTGACTCCGCTGTTCTGCTGCTTCTTCGTCTGTGTATTGAGCGAACGTACAAATTTTATAAAACTACAAGTTTTTTCGCGAATTCGTGCGAAAAAAGAAAAGAAGCTTGAAGATATTCCTCCGTTCAGCGGCATTCAACTCTGTCTCAGTAATAACAGACAGGGGGGTCGTTGAGGGGTTGGGGCTGCGAGAAAGGCGGCGAAAATTGCGTTAAAAAGGAAGCGACAAAGTAACAAAAGTCTAATTAAACATTTTAAGTATATTACAAGTAACAGAATCTGTTGAAAACAAAAGATCGTGAGGGTTTCCGTTGAATACTTGGGGTGTATCGGCAGCTCGCGAACGCGATTCTGAATTCTGTTGATAACTGCGACACAACAACATTTCTTCTGGAAATTTCAGTGATTAAGCGAATTTATAGTCTTCCTGCGCTAAAAGCATAGTTATTTCTGATGGAGGAGTCTATTAAAAACGCCGATCTATCATTTTTATGTTGCTGCCGTCGTCAGTTTCTGAATTGGGCTACGGAAATCGAGGAGTTGCGGGCGGGGGATTCGCAGCGGAAAAAAGAAGAATTGCGTCTTCTTTCGGAATTGAATTCAATTAAGCGAAAGCTAGCCGAAAAAGAATTCGAGCAACAAACAAATGCAAATGTTGAACAACAGACCCACGTAGCTGAGACAGACAACTGGCGACGAACAAACGAGCAGCAACAGCGGGAAATCAACGAATTAAAAGTGAGTTAAACGGGCTAATAAAGTGAAATTATGCTAATGCATCCTCAATTTTTATTTTAATTCAAACAACACGATGCATTACAGGCTGTATGCGCCTCTCTCAAGCAAGCACTAAGTGCAGCACAAGAGAAGATCAGTACAGACGAAATCTCGTATTGCTCTTTAAAGCAAGAGAATGAGGATTTGAAATTGAAGGCAAAAAGAGAAAAAATTTCTCTCGAGATGATCAAAGACATCACAGACCGCCACTCCCGACTCCTCAGCGAATGCAAAGACCTGAAGAAAACAATGCACGGTATTTTTCTGTTTTTTTTTTTCTGTTTCTTCTCCACTCCTCTTCTTCTCTTGCTGATGTAGTATATTTGGCTTCTTTTTTGGTTAAAGTTAAGCATATTTGTTTGTTAAAATGAATGTCTATGGACTCTGTCGTTAGAACTCAAGCTCGCACGAGGAAACGCAGAAAAGAAACAAAAAGAAGCGCACAGTCGCCTTGCCGAGCTGCAGCAGCAGACAGAGTCATTTGCAGCAGCAAAGGAGCGGCTTCGTTCTCTCTTGCAGCAGAAAGAAGAACAGATAGGGGAGGTAGGGCTGACGATGTTATCGTTATTTAGGGCATTGTTTCCTTCAAATTACTGAAGCAAATCAATCAACTCATTTAGATGCAAACACTTCTTCTTGAGGCACAAGAAAAAGGAGAAGCAGCAGCAGCAGAAGCTGCTGCACTGAAGGACGCGCTGCAAGAGTCAGAGAAGAGAAAAGTAGAAGTAGAGGTAAATATAAAGGCGAAGCAGAGCATCCGAACAAAACAATAAAATTGTTTATTCATATATTTGCTTTTTATTTATTATAATTTACTTCATCTCGTTTTTAACGTTTTATTAGGACGAGAGAGCGCAGCTGTGGAGGCGTCATTCGTTTTTACTCTCTCTCGGGTGAATCTAAAGATAAATAAGAAAAAACACAACAAAATAAATAGATAAATAAATAAATATTTATTTTCGCTTAACAAATAAATAAATATATATATTATATATTGTTATTGCAGATTGGCGGAGGCGGTAAGGAACGCCTTGCGAGGTGCCTATACACCTGAACTATGCAAACTCTGCCTGTTGTTGTTGATCAGGAGAAGGAAGTATTTTCTGCTTCTTCTTCTGGTGAGATGAGACAGAAAGACGAAAAACAAAACAAAGGCTTTAATCCAGTAGACAAATTACTCAACTCATCCAAATAATAAACAAAAAAACAAACGGCAAACGCAGAACACAGAACAGCAAAAGCTGTAGAAGGAATTGCTGCACTGCACACAAAGACAACGGACAGTCACAACCAAAGGGAAGTGAGCAGCAGCAGCAGCAACAACAGCAACAGCAACAGCAGCAACAGCAGCAGCAGCAACACCAATCCCTGCCCGAGCAACAGCGCAACCATCTATCGCAGCAACAGCAGCAGCTGCAGCACCAGCACCAGCAGCTCTACGTGTAATGACAGTAGCTGCGGCAGCAGCCGTTCTCCAGTCAGCAGCACCAAGAAGAATTACCCTTTGGGTAGTCGCGTTAGCGAAGAGAGCAGCAGCATCAGCTGCAGCAACAGCAGCAGCAGCAGAGAGAGTTCTGACAGCAGCAGCAGCAGGGGCAACAGGAGACGGGGCAGCAGCTGCAGCAGCGACTCCAGCAGCAGCCAAACCGAATGCCTCAGCAGCCCGTTAAATAACCTCTTCAACGACCCTTTGAAAGCGAGCAGCAAAAGCGCAGCAGCAGCAACAACAACAGCACAGCTATACACTACTGGCAGCGGCTGCAGCAGTGGTGCAGGAGAGGGAACAGCAGCAGTGCAGCAACAGCAGCAGCAGCAGCTGCAGCATGAGAAACCTCAAGCAGCACAGCTCCTGCTGCGCCACATGACCCCTCCCACTGCAGCAGCAGCAGCAGCAGCAGCTCCTGCTGCTGCTGCAGATTCTACAGTTGAAGTCGTATGTTGGAATGGCGCCGTCAACCAAACAAAACAAAAAAACGAAAAAGAGGAAGATACAGAAGCAGCGCTACTACACCAGGCCTCTGACTTCCTACTGCAGCAACAGCAGCAGCAGCAGCAACAACAACTGCCACCCGAGCAGCAGCAGCAGCAGCAGGAAGGGGGCATGGACGTTGCAGTCACACCAATAGAAGACGTACAAAAAAAACGAGAAGAACCAAAGCAGCAGCAGCAGCAGCAGCAGGCAGCGACAGCTGCATTAGAGACAGCAGCAGCAGCAAGGGGATTAGAAGAAGAAACAACTGCAGAGAGTGCAGCAGAAGAAACGAACGGAGAAGAAAGACAGATAAAAAGACGAAGAGAATGCGAAGAAATTCAATCGAATTTAAACGAGTGGAGTCGGGCGAACAACTGGAGGTAAAAAAACAGAAGGCAATAAATAAATAAATAAAAATAAATAAACAAAGTTTAGATTAGTTATCTAGATAGATAGTTATATAAATAAATAATAAGAAACAAATAAACAAATAAACAAATAATTTAAACAAACAGAATAATTATTTAAATAAATAAAAAATAAAGTTTACATGACGGCCGACTTCAACTTGGGAGGAAGGAGGAGTTGATTGAATATTATTTACAAATTTAAATAATTTTTAACTAATTTAAATTAATTATTAATAAACAATAATATTATTATTTTTAATTCAAATAATCTACTTGCATCTTAAAATAAAAAATTTATTTACACCCTGCCAACTCATAGCTAATTTGAATAACGAGTTGTTGATATATACAGTATAATTTTTTTGTTCATTGATTAAAATAACTGAGTTAACTAATTAAATTGCATATTTAAGTGATTAATGCCTTTATATTGCAGCAAAGAAGAACAACAAATAGAAGAAAAAAGAAGAAAAGACAGCAAAGAAACCCCAGCAGAAGTCGATTGGATGCCGTCTGCTTCGGTGGAGTTGTCTGGCGATTATTTGCTGAGTATGATGGAAATATGATTAAAATTATGCTTAAATTCAATTAAATTCAATTAAATTAAACAATTTAAATATCTTTTGAAGTTTAATTTTGTTTTTTTAACTCTAAATTAAGCGGCAAACCTAGCTGCAAGGGCTGAGAAGCCCCGTTGTTGTTTCTGCATGCGGCAGCAACAGGAAGCAAAACACGCATACCTATATTTATATATATATTTTGTTGTTCATTAGGTGGTGGTTTTCTTTACTTTGTTTGCCTCTTACTCTGCAGTTTGATTCCCCTGCGCACGCTCGGCTACCCCTAAACCTTAAACCCTAAACCCTAAACCCTAGGCCCTAAACCCTCTATCAAACCCTCACACGTGTCCTGCTTTGTCGGTTTTCCCCAGCAGTCCATAGCTGTTTGAAGTGGCTGCAGCAGCAGCAGCAGGATTAGCAGGAGGAGTAGCAGCAGGAGCAGCAGCAGAAGCAGCAGCAGGAGCAGCAGCAGAAGCTTTGTGTGTTGTTATTTTTTTCTTGACGATGGAGGCTCCTCCCTCCGCGTCTTTTCGCAATGCGCAGCAGCAGAAAGACAAACGCCGTTCACTGGACCTGCAAGACATCACAACTCTTCATCCTTCATCTTCATCTTCATCTTCATCTTCATCTACTTTGTCTTGCTGCAGCAAGACGGGAGGTGTAGAAGCTGCTGCTGTCTCCTCTGAAGTAAACACAAGAGAGCATTCGTTGCCAGACTCCAATCAGAACGGCAGCAGAGCTGCTGCTGCTGCTGCTGCAGCTTCTGGAGCAGCTGCATGCCCCGGAGCAGCAGCAGCATCAACATCATCAGCATCACCATCATCATCATCAGCAGCAGCAACAGCAGCAGCAGCAGCAGCAGCAACAGCAACAGCAAGAGGAGGAGAATTGTTAGGATTGAGTGCAGAAGACATAGCAAAGGTGGTGGTGCTGGTTGTTGGTGCTGGCGGCATCGGCTGCGAGCTGGTGAAGTGTTTAGTTTTATGCGGCTTCATAAGAATAGAAATAATAGATTTAGATTCTATCGATATAACAAATCTTAACAGACAATTCTTCTTTAGAAAGCGCCACGTGGGACAAAACAAAGCAAGTGTACTCGCCGAAGAAGCAGCAAAACTCCTCAGCCCTCAGCAGAAGGCCTTCATTGCCGAAGCAAAAGCAGCAGCAGCAGCAGCAGCAGCAGCAGCAGGAGCAGCAGCAACAGCAGCAGAAGAAGAAGAAGGTGGTTTACTAAGAGGTGATAAAGTAATAGGGTTGTATGGATGCCCGTATAATGTTCTTGACAGCAGATTTTCAGTAGATGTTGTGAAGAGTTTTGATATAGTATTTGGAGGCTTAGACAATTTAAAGGCGCGGAGACAGCTAAATAGGCTATGTGTTGCTGCAGGGATACCGTTTATAGATGGAGGAAGTGCAGGCCTTAGCGGACAGGTAATGCCGATTGCGAGTAAAAGTACTCTTTGTTTTGATTGTGAAGATAAAAATACACAAGAAAAAACTTTTGCTGTCTGCACAATCCGACAGAAACCCGATAAGCCTCAGCATTGTGTAGCCTGGGGTAAGATGGTGTATGCGCTGCTCTTTCAAGAAGAAGAAGAAGAAGCAAGTGCTAATCTTCTTATAGACCTCAAACAGCAGCTCAATCAACTCTGCAATCTAAACACCAGTAGCAGCAGCACCAGCAGCAGCAGCAACGGGAACACCAGCAGCAGCAGCAGCAGCAGCAGCAGCAGCAGCAGCAGTATTGAAGGGGAGGTGTATGCTGCAGGTGTGCGGGTGATGGAGGAAGTGTTTTCAAAACAAATCAAAGATTTAATTGCATTAAAAACAGACTGGAAGCCTGGGGCCCCTCCGGTGCCTCTAGAGATACACCCCACTGTACAGCAGCAGCAGCAGCAGCAGCAGAAACAGCAGCAGCAGCAGCAGTTCTCCCCACACAAGATCTGGTCGTCTCTTGAATGCCAGCAGGTCTTCCTGCGCAGCTTCTGCGGCCTCATGGAGAAAAGGAGACGCATGCAGCAGCAGCAGCAGCAGCAGCAGCAGCAGCAGCAGGGGATTCCGTTTGATAAGGACGATGACTTGGCTATGGATTTTGTTGCTGCAGCAGCCAGCATTAGGATGAACACTTTCCACATACCCCCGAAGGCATGCTGCTGCTGCTGCTGCTGCTGCTGCTGTTGCTGCTGTTGCTATTGTTGCTGTTGTTGCTGTTGCTGCTACTGTTGCTGTTGCTGCTGCTGTTTGTCTTGCTGTTGCTGTGGCCGCTGGTGTTGCTTCTGGTGCTGTTGGCTGCAGCGGCAGTTGTTGTTTGCTGTTGTTGCTTCTGCTGCTGTTGCTGCTGCTGCTGTTGTTGCTGCTGGTGTTATTCCTGCTGCTGCTAGAGCTCCCGTGGTTGCGTCTGCTACTGCATATATTTGCTGCTTCTGCCTAAACCATTTGCTGCTGCGGCTGCTTGACTTGCTGCCTCACATGCTGCTGCTGCTGTTGTTGCTGCTGCTGCTGCTGCTGCAGACTCGGTGGGAGCTGCAGGCGATTGCGGGTTCAATCATTCCTGCTGTCGCCAGCACCAATGCAATTGTTGCAGCGACGCAGGTAAAGAAGCGAGGGTTTAGGGTTTAGGGTTTAGGGTTTAGGGTTTGGTGTGTTGTTTGGTTTGGCTGCTGCCGTCTCTTAAAGCATCATCAGACCCTAACTCGTTTCGCTGCTGCTGCTGCTGCTGCTGCTGTTGCTGCTGTTGCTGGTGCTGTTGTTGCAGGTCTTGCAGGCAATGCATATACTAGCATTTAACAAGAAACAGAAACAGCAGCAGCAGCAGCAGGAGGCAGCAAAGGAAACTGTGCGAGACAGCCTCGCCCGCCAGGTCCTTTAAACTCTAAACCCTAAACCCTAAACCCTAAATATATTAAATGTGTTGTTATATACAAGGAAAATAAATTGTATAATACTAATTCACGGGTTTCTTGCTTTATTAAACCCTAAACCCTAAACCCTAAACCCTAATCTCCTTAAGCTTCGTTCACACCCCAGGAAAGCAGATATTTGTTGTGCATGTTAAATACTCTATGACTATTTACTTGTTTTCAGTTTAACAATATCTACCAAAAAACGGTTTAGGGTCTAGGGTTTAGGGTTTAGGGTTTAGGGTTTAGGGTTTAGGGTTTAGGGTTTGTGTGCAGGTGTGGGTGAAGCCTTTTGTGACGGGTCGCTGTGAAGATTCTTTTGGGGTTTTGTTGCTGCCAGAGCGACTGGAGGCGCCGCGAGTAAATTGTTTTGTCTGTCAGCAAACAACAGTTACTGTTAAACTTAACTCCCTACAGGTATCACATCGATATCCTGCTGCTGCTGCTGCTGCTGCTGCTGCTGCTGCTGCTGTGTATAACCTGCTGCTGCTGCTGTTGCAGCGTGTATATCCTGCTGTTGCTGCTGCTGCACCTGCAGCTGTAGCGTGTATGAGCTGCTGCTTCTGCAGTGGGTATATCCTGCTGCTGCTGCTGCTGCTGCTGCTGCTTCTGCGGCGTGTATATCCTGTTGCTGTTGCTGCTGCTGCTGTTTTGCTGCTTAGCGTTGGGGTTTGAAGAGTTTTCTAGAGGAGGTTTTGATGAAGGGTTTGGGCTGCAATTTGCCTTTGCTGGACTCCAACGTCAATCTCATCGATGCAGAAGAAGCAAAAGCAGACAACAGTAATAAACTAGGGTTTAGGGTTTAGGGTTTAGGGTTTAGGGTTTAGAGGTTGAGGGCCACCACCAGATCTCCTGCAGGGCTGAGGGGGAGGTGCACAGGGTTTAGGGTTTAGGGTTTGGAGGCAGATCTTCAGGGTTTAGGGTTTATACTTTGAAAGGACATTATTAGGGTTTATTGCAGACGCTCTGAGGTTGTTAGGGTTTAGAGGAAGGTGTTTAATGTTTAGGTTTTAGAGGGAGGGTTTAGGGTTTAGGGTTTAGGGTTTAGGGTTTGTGAGGGTTTGCAGTGTATCGGCAGCAGTTGGCTTCAACGAGTTTAGCAGACGCCGGAGTGTGCAGTGGGTCTATTCTAACTGTCACGGATCTCTCACAGGTAGCTACTGCTGCTGCTGCTGCTGCTGTCGCTGCTGCTGTTGCTGCTGTTGCTGCTGCTGCTGCTGTTGCTGCTGCTGCTGCTGTCGCTGCTGTTGCTGCTGCTGCTGTTGCTGCTGTTGCTGCTGCTGCTGCTATTGCTGCTGCTGCTGTTGCTGTTGCAGCTGTTGCTGCTGCTGCTGCTGCTGTTGCTGCTGTTGCTGCTGCTGCTGCTGCAGCTGTTGCTGCTGTTGCTGCTGCTGCTGCTGCTGTTGCTGCTGTTGCTGCTGCTGCTGCTGCTGTTGCTGCTGTTGCTTCTGCTGCTGTTGCGTCTGCTGCTGCTGTTGCTGTGTCTGCTTGGCTGATGCCGCTGCTGCTGTTGCTGTTATTGCTGCTGCCGTCGTTTGCTGGTGGTGGACTTGCTGCTGCTGCTGCTGCTGTTGCTGCTGCTGCTCGTTGGGGTTTGTTTGTTATTCGAGTTGTTGCTATACATTATTTTATATATTATAAACATTTACTTTATTTATTTATTTATTTTATTTTTTCTTTAGGGAGACATGCAGTGTAATTTGGTGGTGCTGGAAGACAAATCGCTGGGCAGCGAAGACGAAGAAAATAAATTTGAATTAATTAAACCCAGCAGCAGCAGCAGCAGCAGCAGCAGCAGCAGCAAGGAGAGCAGCAGCAGCAGCGATAGCAGCAGCAGCAATGGAATCAGCAGCATCAACAATGAGAGCAGCACCAGCAGCAGCAGCAACGGTAGCAGCATCAGCAGTAGTACTAGCAGCAGCAGTGATAGCAGCAGCAGCAGCAGCAGCAGCAAGAGCAGCAGGTCTGTAGCGGAGAAGAGAAAGAGAGATAAAGCAGACGAGTGAGAATTGTATTAATCTGTTTTAATTAATTTATTTATTTCTTCATCTCTGTCTTTGTTTGTTTTATTTGTTTTATTTGTTTATTTGTTTATTTTTTAATTTGTTTTTGTTTCAGTTTGCTGCTGCTGTTTGCTGCTGCTGCTGCTGCTGCTGCTGCCATATCTTTTTTTCTTTATCTCTTCTTCTTTCTATTCATTTCTTTTGTTTTTATTTGTATACTTTTTTGTTTTTGTTTATTTATTTTTTTCTTCAGAGACACTCAAGCGGTAGTCATTGACCTTGAAGACGATGATGAGAATTTAATAACAAAAAAACAAAAAACAGCAGCAGCAGCAGCAGCAGCAGCAGCAGCAGATGAGGTGCTGCTGATTAGCGATGAAGAGTAATAATTGCTTTTCTTGTTTTTCTTCTTTTTGTATTGTCTTCTCAAACCCTTATTATTATTATTAATTCTTTTTGTTTGTTTCTTTGTTGCTGTTTGTCTGTATGCTTGCATTTACTTTACATATATTTTATTATTTATATTACTAATATTATGTATGCCTACTAAAGGCTGTTATTATACGCGTATGTATCTACAATAATGAATATGATTATATATATAATATTATATATAATATATATA